AAACAGGAGACTCCTGGATTAAAAGAATTCATTCGTAAAAAATGTCTTACTGAGAGGAGTTGAACGATAGGTCACTGTGAGGTCAAACTGAAAAACAAGCTATTTCACACCTTCGTTCATGGACAACCCATTGATCTCCGTCAAGCTGCCATGTCACAGTAGGTCCCAAGCAGGCTATACTTATAGGCGACTGAATGGATAGGCGTTCAGGCTCTGTGATCTGATTGTGTTTCATCCACACCTGGGGCGCTGGGGTAGCCTAGTGGTTCGCGTTCGCTCGTCACGCCGAAGACCCGGGTTCGATTCCCCCATGGGTACAATGTGTGAAGCCCATTTCTGCTGTCCCCCGCCGTGACGTTGCTGGAATATTGCTAAAAGCGGCGTAAAACTAAACTCACTCATTCATCTACACCTGACATGGAGGTCAGTACAGAAAATACCAACCATTGGATTGTCTGGTCCAGGCACGATTAATGACAGACAGCGGTCCCATGAAATAAAGATCTGCGTTATGCAACCAACAATCAACACAACATATCATACCGCATTGATTGCATTGGATTGAATTCGAATCCATACCATGAGTTCCTGTCCTAAAACTACATTCACTCAAGACAGTTAACCTCAAGCGCATACGTTGCAGCTTGAGGTGTATACGTTATAGACTAACACTTAATTCATGAAATATATATCCTTGATGCTTGATTGGCATTTTAGAAGATGATATTTGATGAACATAGAGATTTTTTCTGGGTTACAGTTACTGTTCAGTTTTACCTGATGATGGGGCCAGAACAAGCCCTGAAACGTTGTACTCGAGAATAAAAAGAAGATGTAACCCAGAAGAAATCTCTGTGTTCATATATCCTTGAGTTAGTGAGTATGGGTTTACGCCGCCTTCAGCAATATTCCAGCACTGACTGCCTGAGTTTGGTTTTACGCCGCTTTTAGCAATATTCCAGCAATATATCACGTCGGTGTACCCATGTAGGGGATTCGAACCCGGGTCTTCGGCGTGGAGGACTAGACTACCCCACCGCCCCCAATATTCCAGCAATATCACGGCGGGCTTCACACATTGTACCTATGTGGGGAATCGAACCCGGGTGTTCGACGTGATGAGCGAACGCTTTAACCACTAGGCTACCCCATCGCCCATATATATCCCTGACACAAAGAGCTCCATTTAAACTGAAAAGAAGCCCCGGTGAGACTTGCTTTAGTGAGAGCATTTGTATTATAGGCAGTGCTGTGTTGAAGGAACGCAGTATTGTTCCAGGACTGTGAGACAAAGTACTTTACTGAGAGCACACTGATCCCGTTACCAGTAAATTATGAAACCATCTTGAGCATTCACTCAATGAATCGGCGCATTATAAGAGCTTTTTTTCATATACTTTAAACGATGTCTCGAAATTCGAAATATACTCGTGTAACTAAATGGAAATTTGATGTCATCCGCCCTCTTATCTTTTCGTCAGTTTTGTAAATATTTACAGTCGCTCATCAACCAGTAATCATTTCGTTAATATTATTTTCTCGCTGTATTTCAAAACATAGCATAACCGAGGAAACTAAAAATAGACTTCTCAAAACTTCGCATTAATATAATAATAAGTGCTGGTTTGGACCCCGATTAGGCGTGGTAGGAGGGGGTTCAAATCAATGCCAAGCCCTCGAATGCACATATATATAAGTCGAAATCCTCTAAAATGAGAAGGGGAGGTGGGTTACGTAGCCTTCTGGTTAAACCACACCTATAGTCATTTGTTTAATTCGGATCGTCACGCTGACGACCATGGGTTCGAATCCCCACATGGGCACAATGTGTGAAGCCCATTTATGGTGTCCCCCGCCGTGATATTGCTTGAATATTGCTAAAAGCGACGTAAACCCCAACTCACTCACTCACTCATTTGTTTAATAACGTTTTAACTAGTATATCAGTTTCAATACCGTGCAAAACCTTAATGAGGGAGGGGTGTGTGGAGTTGCGTCCCTTAGGTGTGACAGAAATCTATGACCGTCTCTTCAAATCCTACATTCTCTTAGATGTTAATAGGTTTTTTCCAGCGCTACAACCGTGCTCGTTGGTTTCCCTGTGTTGAAAACGTCTGAAACCTTCATCACTTCGGGTTTTACTCCCATATTAAACAGACAGGCCCTGATATAACAGAAATACTTTTTGAGTTAAAGTCCGAGGAAAACCAAACATGATGTGGTATATGTCTACTTGTTTGGTCAAATGCATGAATTCACGAATGGACAGACCAGGGATGATAAGTGGGTAGAATATGTGGTTTGCTTTAACAATACGTCAAAGTCCTTACAAATCAGAATAATTGCTGCATCAATAGAATTGTATTTAGTTGACGTTGATTGGAGGAACCGTCTCCGTGGCGTGGCATATACAGCGTCTGACGGAGAGCGGAATTTCAGGGGTTGCTCAGCCGCTAAAGGATGGCACTTGCAGGGAAGCAGCAAGTGCCATCCCTTTAAAGGGATAAAACAAGGGCTAGCTGAGTCATTACATTGCGGCATGAAATATCAGTAAGTAAGAGAGGGCTATAAATGTGGCACGAGGTCAGAACACTAACGCACACACGCACACGCGCACGCACAAAAGTACACACCTACTAAAGAAATTACTATTCGTAAAAAAACCCTTACAGATAACTATTGGTCTACACGTTTTTACATGAGTTGTCTTTGATATCGACGGAGTTAAAAACTCTTTAATATCTACTGAGTTAAAACTCGTTTTAACAGCATATTCTATAACCTTGACAAAAGCCAAACTGTTTCTACCTGTGCAGTTAACTACCAAGAGTTTTGAATGCTGAACAGATTAATATTGGCTTTACAATACACGTTACAATTTCTGATGTCAGCTGAAGACAATATGGTATGGTTGGAGAACCGTTATATGATCTGGTGTAAAAACACTTACATCCACACTTTGAAAACTAGTTTGTACCGTGGGACGATCACTTCACACTACAGGAACAACGAAGCCAAGCCGGTGGTTCAGAGCGCTGTGCCCGGTAACGGAAATGTTTAACATTGTTGACGTTCATGAAGACAATGACACCGTGGTTGCAGTCACGCCATTTTATTTTTTACCATCCTAGCATATTTGAATCAGAGAATTGCGTCTTTAATAAGAAACGAAAATAAAGTATTTTTGTGGCATTCTGTGATGTTATGAAAAACAGCTGTGGACGGAGTCAGGCAGGGCGCGCTTCTAGTCCCCTGGGTTTTGTGCGCGCGTTTTCTTATACATACAAATAAACATTAGTCCTGCCTACACCAGCCACAACTGTAATGATCTCATGCAATTACTCGCACCTGCCTTTCTAACCTTTTTTCTTTCACCATATTTGTTAAGGGAAAATGCTATCTGGCGTATGCGTCACCTGGGGTTTTGACTTGGGTGAAAAGGTATTTACTACGCGGGGTTCAACTTTGATGTTTTGTATTGTCACAGTTTGTCGAGAAGAGGATGTAAATAAAGTACTCACATAACACGGTAACAGAAGGAGTGAATAAGTATGGTTTTACGCCGCTTTAAGCAATATTTCAGCAATATCACAGCGGGAGACACCAGAAATGGGCTTCACACATTGTACCCTATCGCCTTTTAATCTATGATTCATATTTCAGAACGGACAAAGACTATAAGGACTTAGTATACTATCAGTTAGTTACTACAGACCCTGAAGCAAATATATCCAAGAAAGCCCACGCAAGTCTAGAAAATGTGGCAAATGAAGAAAGTCTCAGGGCTCCTTTTCATTATATTATATTTTTTTTTACTATGAACTTTTTTCAGTAAAATATGTTCATTTCTGAGACTAGTTGTTAGTCTAACTATCAGTATACCAACCATACTGCGACCTGTGTTGTCTGTTTCCTTGTTCCTTCTTTCAAAGTACAAGCCGCACTTCTCCTAATGAACACAAACCTCTTGTATAACCTCTTGTATAACAGATTCAGTGACCTGAATCGCACCTTAAGTAAGTCATGGACAGAGAACTGTGCTGGTATTCAGAACTTTGAGCCCTGAGATTCGGTGGGCGTTTATCCGTAAAGAGCATCATCCTAACAACTACTGTTTTGGGAACTTACATGAATATGTATGCAAAGTGGCACTATTCCGGTAGGGACTTGAACCATTTGAAATATATAAAGGGAGTAGAGGTGAAGATAGTATTGCGGTGGAATTTTATCGAAAAAAGTAAAATTTCCCCAAGAATGGCTATTGACGCAAAAAGAAGTTTACTAACACAAAGTAAAGTATTACTGAAAAAAAGGATGTTTACCAAATGTTTATGAAGGCTTATTGTCAAATTCATAACAAACTAAATCTGGGTTTTCTGTTGTAGCTGAATATGGGTGTGTTTCGGATTTCGGATTGGATTTTTTGGATTATGTGTATATATATAATATCTCCATTCACAATCCTAGCTTCTCTCCCCAACCCAAACCACCCATCCCCACCCCGAAAATCTTATGGTCGGCTCCATACAGTGATTCGTTTGTCAAGACATATGGACAGTACGGTCCAGAGTAACGGGGTTTCGCTTTATATGGCATGGTAGTGCACTCTTATAAAGGTCTAACAGAATAACGATGAAATGTACAATAGGAAATAAACCAAATCCGTTAAAAAGTCAACTATCAGTATAAGTTGGTGAGTTGGGTGCACAGCTACTCCACCAAACATCTATGAATGGGTCTCGTTATATTTTTACGACATTCTGTCTAAACAGAGCCATATCCGACCTTTCTGAATATTGAATTCATCATTCAAAACAATGTATGATATAGGATAGGGCGTGGCTGGGTGTCTCGGTCCACAAACCTGTTTATCATCCCTCACAGTTGAGCACCGTTGGATACTTTCTTGTATAAGAATGTCTTAGCAAATCCGTTCTCGTATAACCCATAATACGGGAGGGAGTATGCGGGCCTACCACAAATGCAAGGCATCTAAATTTAGTGTGGTGCTGAGCGGCGAGGGGAGGAAAGTGGTCGCAGGAATGTCATGGAGAGCACACCGAGATACTAGCTGGACCATCGTATCATGAAAACGCTGCTTACGTAACGGAGGTGTGTCCAGATCGTAATTACTTTCATTGAAAAGATTTTTTTCATTGAAACCTACCCAACCCCAGCCAAACGTCTGCTCGGTTCAGTTGAAGAACGCGCGTCAACGTATCGTCTGCTACTCTGCTGTCGTCTGCTTTCTGTACTGTCGTCTGTTAGCCATTACTGGAAATACCCGAGATTTGACTGAATCAGCGGGAAAATGAATCTATACAACTGTTTATTTTCCTGCGTGTGTTTTCTGGTGGCAATATGTGTTACCTTGGGGCGACGACGGGGACCACGATTCAGGAGTGGCGACGTCCGGCTTGTCGGAGGCCAAGAAAATCATGAAGGGACAGTGCTCATTTACCACAGACATACTTGGGGCGCCATCTGTGACAAGGAATGGGACTTCAAGGACGCTGATGTAGTCTGCAAACAACTTGGGTTTTTGGAGGCATACAAGGCTGCATATGGCAGTCAGTTCGGAAGAGGCGCAAGTAGGTCATTTCTGATTATTATTATCATTATTATCATCATTAATAATTATCATTAGTAGTAGCAGTAATAGTAGTTATAGCGCCAGCAGTAGCAGTAGTACATGTAGTACTAGCAGTAGGCTGTCTCACAGTCCCTGAACCATATTATTTTCCCTACTGCCAAGCCCTCTCTGCAGTGCTAAAGCCCTAAATAAAGCAAGTCTAGATTTCCTCAGGTTCTGAATCTCTGGTCTCCCTGGGGCTCCTTTTCAATTTAAATGTACGTGTTTGTTTACTATCAAAAGTATATATATTCAGAGACTAAGCATTAGTCTATCTGGGTAGTAGCAGAAGTCACAAAACGTATTCATGGTATCATTGCACTTTACCTGTTTACCTATATGTTTACCTGTTTATATATATCACCACATAATCACATAGTTTTGGGCTACTACTAGCCACATGTATTAACAAAATTCCCTCCCAGTCAGAACCATTGTCACGGCGGACGACATCAGTTTTGCGTTTCGTACTGTTATCAGCACTCAGTAATCTCTGCAGTAAAGATTTAGTTCCCGATTATCAAATTTTCAGTATCACCAAGATTACTAGCAACAAGTTTAGCGTACGCACAAAAACCCATGCCAAAAAAGGATAATTAACCCTGTGGAACATTTCACGGATCATATTCATATTCAAAGCCCATCGCAAATTAATAAAGATGATATCTTTCGTGAAACATCATTAGCATTGACGATCTCAGTGAGCCTTTTACGACTTTCTCTGATAATGGAAAGGCGTTTGTTGATTCTTATTGTTAATCTACTAGAACATGTCAACATTAATAACATATGGGGCTACATGCCAAACAACCAAATATTTATATTTTTCTGAAACCATATGTACTTTTTCCTTGAGATTTTTGTGAGATGAAAATGAGTGAAAAGACGGAGCATTTCTCTGAGGTGTTAGTAATTCATTTATCCCCACAACAATTTCTGGTTTTATCTAAATAGAGGCGACAAAGCCCTTTCCACTTTCAGAAGAAATCCCCGCTAAAAGCAGAGTCGATTGTAAAATTGTTACAATATCATGAATATATGTTCGTTTCAGTAGTATTAAAGCTGTACGATGTTGAAAAAATCGACATTATATTCTTAGGGTATTTTGTAGATGCGCCATAAATGTTCCAAACAAATCTGGGACATCGCAACCACCGTCAAAGTGCAACATCATAAGCATAACCACCAGCAGCATCAACATTACAAAACGAAAACGTCAAAACAATCCGGGGTATTAATAGTGGTATATCAGTCAGACATGATTATAAAATCAAAAGGCCAGTTCATCGTTGAACTGGCCTTTTAACGCCCACTCGGCGGTTCAAATTGTAGCGGATCATACACACCAGTCTGACGAAACTCCGTAAGCTTGTATTCAGGCGTGAATGATGAGGTGAGGTGAAATTGGGTTTTACGTCGTGCTTGAGAATATTTCGCTCATATGACGACGTGCATGCGTGTGTATGTGTAGGTGCGGCTGCTTGTACTAGCCCAGACTGAAGCTGGTTATAGTGCTAGCCCACAGAGATACCATGCCGCAGTGAAGCATGAATACACCACTCAGACACATTATACTGACTCCGAGCCGACCAGTCCTTGTTGCACCCATTAATGCCGAGCGCCAGGTAGGGACCAACAAGTACCATATTTTAACGTCTTTTGGTATGACGCGGTCGGGGATCGAACCCGCGACCTTCCGCTCTCCGGGCGGACGCTCTAACCACTACGCCATGGAGGCGGTCGTGAATGATGAGGACTTGCTCCAAGTCTATACTAAGGGTTATCTCCCAAAACTTAGACCCAAAACATATCTTAGACAGCCATATCTTAGACAGCCATATCTTAGACCGCCATATCTTAGACCGCCATAACTTAGACAGCCATATCTTAGACAGCCATATCTTAGACAGCCATATCTTAGACAGCCATATCTTAGACCGCCATATCTTAGACAGCCATATCTTAGACAGCCATATCTTAGACAGCCATATCTTAGACAGCCATATCTTTAGACAGCCAGCCATATCTTAGACAGCCATATCTTAGACAGCCATATCTTAGACAGCCATATCTTAGACAGCCATATCTTAGACAGCCATATCTTAGACAGCCATATCTTAGACAGCCATATCTTAGACAGCCATAACTTAGACAGCCATATCTTAGACAGCCATATCTTAGACAGCCATATCTTAGACAGCCATATCTTAGACAGCCATATCTTAGACAGCCATATCTTAGACAGCCATATCTTAGACAGCCCTTATCCTTAGACAGCCCATATCTTAGACAGCCATATCTTAGACAGCCATATCTTAGACAGCCATATCTTAGACAGCCATATCTTAGACAGCCATATCTTAGACAGCCATATCTTAGACAGCCATATCTTAGACAGCCATATCTTAGACAGCCATAGCCTTAGACAGCCATATCTTAGACAGCCATATCTTAGACAGCCATATCTTAGACAGCCATATCTTAGACAGCCATATCTTAGACAGCCATATCATAGACAGCCACAGCCATATCTTAGACAGCCATATCTTAGACAGCCATATCTTAGACAGCCATATCTTAGACAGCCATATCTTAGACAGCCATATCTTAGACAGCCATATCTTAGACAGCCATATCATAGACAGCCATATCTTAGACAGCCATATTAGACAGCCATATCTTAGACAGCCATATCTTAGACAGCCATATCTTAGACAGCCATATCTTAGACAGCCATATCTTAGACAGCCATATCTTAGACAGCCATATCTTAGACATCCTTATATCATAGACAGCCATATCTTAGACCTCCATATCTTAGACAGCCATATCTTAGACCTCCATATCATAGACCTCCATATCTTAGACAGCCATATCTTAGACCTCCATATCTTAGACAGCCATATCTTAGACCTCCATATCATAGACAGCCATATCTTAGACCTCCATATCTTAGACAGCCATATCTTAGACAGCCATATCTTAGATCATAGAGCCATAGACAGCCATATTAGACAGCCATATCTTAGACAGCCATATCTTCTTAGACAGCCATATCTTAGACAGCCATATCTTAGACCTCCATATCTTATCTTAGACCTCCATATCAGCCATATCTTAGACCATATCATAGACATATATCAGACAGCCATATCTTAGACCTCCATATCATAGACAGCCATATCTTAGACTTAGAGCCATATCTTAGACAGCCATATCTTAGACAGCCATATCTTAGACAGCCATATCTTAGACAGCCATATCTTAGACAGCCATATCTTAGACAGCCATATCTTAGACAGCCATATCTTAGACAGCCATATCTTAGACAGCCATATCTTAGACAGCCATATCTTAGACAGCCATATCTTAGACAGCCATATCTTAGACAGCCATATCTTAGACCAGCCATATCTTAGACAGCCATATCTTAGACAGCCATATCTTAGACAGCCATATCTTAGACAGCCATATCTTAGACAGCCATATCTTAGACAGCCATATCTTAGACAGCCATATCTTAGACAGCCATATCTTAGACAGCCATATCTTAGACAGCCATATCTTAGACAGCCATATCTTAGACAGCCATAACTTAGACAGCCATATCTTAGACAGCCATAACTTAGACCGCCATATCTTAGACAGCCATAACTTAGACACTAATGAAGGGGATTAATTAAGACAACACCCATGGCTGAAATGGAACAGTCCTAATTAGTGTTCCCTGCTGAGTAGACCTAGCTTGTATTCAGAAGTAAATGATATGAACTGTACAAGCGGAATTAAGTTTAAAGATGCATGCTATGTTTTCATTTGAATATCTCCTCACAAGATGAAAGCATTACATGTTATGTGCAAATGAAATGTTATGTTATGTACAAATATTATATTTTAAGGAAATTATAAGAAATAGGTATCAGCTTGAGGATTAGTTGTGCACTGAACCAGAAATGTTGTTGTTTTAAGCTGTCTAAGATATGGCGGTCTAAGTTTTGGGAGGTTACCTTACCGAGTGATAAAACCCATGCCTGTGAAGTAATTCATATCCTTGTTATGGGCATGTTTAGGTTAGCGTACAGTGTGGAGTAGATGCCAGTCTTCTCTGGGACTATCTTGTTTATATTGTGTACATAATCATGAAATTACGGTTTAAACAACAATTAATACTCTAGAGACTTGTGCAAGTCTAGGGACTTCATCCTCTAATATACGTCTCTGTAAAACGATGAAACACGCTGAAAAGAACACTGGTTGATTATGAGAGCCTTTTTAAAACAAAACTTGTCTTTGATTGCCTGTGACCATATGAGGGTTATGTATAATTATAGTTAGGGGTGGGTATTGCAGAAAATTTTCATATTGCGATATATTGCGATGCGGAAACATATATTGCGATATGTATTGCAATATATTGCAAGAATTATTGTTTTAACAAAAACTATTTATAATCGAGTTAAAGCTTGATTATAAAGCAAAAACACAACAAAATCACTATGATTGATTAACCTTTAATAAAAACTTTTAATCATGACAAAATAAAAATGTAAGTAACATTTGGCACTAATGAAACAGGGAAAAGAACAATTAAAAAAACGGAAATATCCGAAGATTTCCGAGTGTTACGAAGTTTTCCGAATGCATGTCAAAATACCGGTTTTCGATCAGCGTATAGCAATACGTATCGTTTTCATGTCTGAACCGGTTATATTGCGCAGCCCTAATTATAGTGCTGTGGAGGCGAATGATATAGTCCCAGATGGCATATAACCAAGCATTCCATAATAGAACAGCGTTAAGAGGATAGAACAGCTTTAAGAGAATGGTCCAGTCTGTGAACCATCAGGCCTAAAATTAAAACTCTCTGTTCTAGTTTATGGGCGCTGCAAGATTATGCATACGTGCTTGATACACAGTCATTTTGAACATGACCTCGTGATGAATTTAATAAATCTGTAA